CTCTAAAACGGTAAATTATTGGTCGAACGTGATATAAAAACAACGAAATAAAACTCGTTTTCGACTAGTCTATTCACTATCAGCTTTACATAGAGAGAGTCATCGGATCGTTTCCAGTTCAATCAATAGCCGCCATGTTGCCATAAATCCGTGCACTGAGTAAATTGCAGATAAGTGTAAACGTGTTGTGTATATATGCGCGTGTGTACAATAATATATAGAATATTCGAATAATAATAACCACGAGAAAAAATTGCCATGTCAACAAAATTCGATAAAAAAATTTTTTATTCCGCCCGCCGTATCTTTTTCTTCCTCCCCCTTTTCCCTCCTTATCACAAAAAATTGGAATAATAATAATAATTATTATTCTGACGATAATAACGAAAAAAAAATTCATTTTGTACTATTTTAAGAATTAACAAATCTCTCGTCTCTCCCCTTTTTCCTCCTATTACGTTCACGTTATACAAAATAACATATCGTCTTTAAAACATAGTAATAAAATAACCGGCCAGTATCAACAAAATTCGAAAACAGAAAATCCATTCTGGCCGATGCATCCTTTGAGGATGGCAAGGTGGAAATTTCTCTTTCTCTATCCCTCTTTCCCTTCTCTCGCTTCATGTTCCCTCCCTTTCTCTCTCTCTCTCTCTCTCACTCTCTCACTTTATCCCTCTATTCCTCTATCCCCGTCTCCCTCAGTCGGTCTCTCCGGGGTGCCAGCCAGTTTCGTGATACGAAGCGGCCTGGATCGATAGAGAGCAGCTCAAGCTCCTTGGAGTTCTTCATCGAATGGGCCGATTCCTGGAGGACTCCTGAAGGAATCGAAGAGGCGCTCTCTCTCTCTCTCTCTCTCCCTCCCTCCCTCCCTACCTCCTCTCTCTTTCGACCAGGAAGAGCGAAATAGGTTAGAAAGAGGAGTAGGTTGGAGAGAGAGAGGAATAGAAAAGAAGGAACAAGGTCCCGACCTGCAACGCCACCGCCCTAGGGATCGCCTTTTGTAACGTTCCGGCCTTTTAAGGACTAGTCGAGTGGACGAACGAAGGTCTACGGCCCTGCCCGTGAGACACGCGGTGCCACACCAGCTGGTGGAAAATCGAAAACGCAGCTGCCGCCTCCTCTCTTTCTCGACTGGCATAAATTCGAGCCTTTGTACTCACCTCGTCGCCACTGGCCACGTCCTCCACGTCTATATACCGAGGCTGGATCTCTCTCCTCGCTGTTTCGGGCGAGAATATAATCGTGGGAGGCGCTCCTACTCTTTCGAGTCTCATTCGCCCGGAACTGGTTACTTCGCCAGGCCTCCGCCGTGATCGAGGGAACGTGAACGTTCGAAAACTCCATCGAGAATTCCGGGGAGCTGTGTAATTTATTTAGAATTATTACAAACTTCGTTCGAGCTCGTTTGTGAGTTTCCATTTTTCTCCTCGAATTTTGCCTCCCCTTTGGATCTCTCAGATTTTTAGGTTAGGCGAGTTAATGACTTTTTGATGTAAGCGGTTTCGAGGTTATTTTTATTTTTTTGCGTTTTATTCGTTTTCTTCTTTGTCTCTTTGCGTCCATTTGAATTTTTAGAATAGATGGATAGTTTTTTTTTGGATTATTTAAGTTAGGTTAGGAGATTTTATTCGTTTCTTTGTGTTTCGAATTTTAGAAATTTTTAGGTTATAGGTTATTTATATAGTGGATTAATGATTTCAAATTTTCACTGTTTATTGGTAATAATTATTATTGGATAATTTTCATTTGCCTGAAAAATTAAAGAAGAGATTAATACAATGATGAAACTAATTAAAATACCAGTTTGTTTCCAACAATTAGGCAATATTTGGTAATTTTCCCACATATATTAAATGATGAAATTAGTGCAAAGATGAAACTATATTAAAACGCTATTAGTCATCGTCGCATGTAGATTATAATTGATGAACGCGACTTCATGTTATGAGACAAGTATTTATAAACCTAGTCTCGTATCACTGATCCCCAATTTCAACGTCTCCTTTCGTATAGAAATTCTCTGACAAAGATTTCGTCGGTCAGGAATTAGAAAAGGTATGCAGAGGCTTTTGGGCCGATGATTCAGAAATTGAGAATCGAAACTCTTGCGACATCCCATACTGTTTTCCATTATGAATATAAAAGAAATGTATCTCTACGTTATCGGTCATAACACTTTGTTAATATTTGTGATATGATATCGAGGCCTAAGACAGTTCGTATTCTTTATTCCATTGCACGTATCTCAAGATTATTGACAATATTTTAAATCACTCTAATATCTGACTTTATTTTCGTAATATTTAAAAAAAGAAAAGAATTAAAATTTTAACAAAATAATTTCATTCAAATTAAAAAGAAAACAATATTTTCTATCTCTCTTCCCTATCTTAATTCCTTCTCCCTAAATAGTAATGACAAAAAATCAACAAATTTTACTTACTTGAAAAAAAAATTGAAAATCAAATTTCTACACATTGAAGATAAATTAATTCAATCAACGATCAAATATATATTAAAATATGCAACTTCTTTACATTGAATACATCAACATCATTCTCATCTCATTTTTTTCACACATTCAAAATAGGGAACAAAGGATGGGCGAAGGTTAAAGAATCAAAAAAAAAAAAAAAAAGAAAAAGAAACACGCATTATCCAAACCCAATATCGACGATTTAAAGATGAAATCCATCAGAATTCCACGGAATCGTGACGGTTGGGATCTCGTGACCCCGTTCGAGCCAGCTTTTGATCACGTCGCCGTCCGGAACGGTGCACGCGTTTCTCGCCGCGACTCCTTCGTCCTCGTCTCGACGGTTTTTGCGTCGGCCACGTCTCGAGAGAGCCGCTACCACGGGAGAGAAGTTTAAAGGTAAACGGGTTTCTCGCAGACGCGAGCATCGCCACATCACCAGGAGGCTATGGCCTCTCTCGGTCAGATTCACCGGCCGTACGTAACGCGTCTCGAGGTTTCAGACGTTGCCTTTATTCTCTCCTTATTTCTCTTTATTTCTCTTCGTTCTTCTTTCCTTTTTTTTTTTTTTTTTTTTTTCTGTTTTAGTTTCAGTTAAAAATACACGGTATTCTTTCGTTCGAGATGATCCGGTTAATCGGCCGGATGCTTTGACTTTTCGAAGTCGAATGTTCGATGACCTGATCCGTACAGAATCGTTTAGGATGACCGTGAATACTTGAAATATATTTCGAGGATACGAGGAAAGTTTTCGATATTTGTTTTTTTCTCTTTTATTATTCTTGTAAATTGTTATTTGAATTTGTACAACGATCCAAAGTATGAATAATCGCGATATTAAATATTTGAAAATTTATATTCTGACGCTATGAGAATATATTATTCGCGGTTTCAAATATTATTTTATCAAATTTTTTTTATCTCTTCTATATAAGAAATTCCAAATTCCTTTTTTGTTTGAAGTTTAAACGCGTTCCTTCCCGTCCAAACGAAACGAAAATGTCCGCGTTCGAGATGTTCTTATTATTATTGCATCAAAGAGACGTATTAGACGTTAAGTAGCGTTTAATAGCACCTGTTACGTTATTTCGTCCATTCCCTTATCTCTGTTAATGATATACAGCGGCCAAGACACAGTAAATATCCAGCATATGGTACATTTAAATTAACTGCCACAAGTGCATGAGTATCATTATCATTTCCGTAAGGAAATAAACGTCATTGTTGTGTCCATAAAGTGGAAGATAATAAATTAAATAATACGCAATATAATCTATAAAATATAATTTTATGCTGCTTTACGTTCAATTTTACTTAACCCTCTATAATGTAAATGAAAAATTAAATACGTATCTATCTATCCTTTTTTTTTTAAATCTTGTTTATCCCATCTTCTTATCATTAAGCAATTGTATTTTATTATTTGTAATAATAATAATGATAATTTTTAAATCAAAATAAGAAGAAATTATTATATCACAATTTTTAATTATTAAGCATAGAAAATTCTATTATTACTTTATCGATTATTGAAAATTATATAATGTGAAATGATTTATATACAAATTTTTATAACAATTGTTGAGATGATCAGAAACGGTATTGACGCGATAGAAAGAAGAAATAAATAATATTTAAAAAAAAAAGAAAACAAAATATTAATATTGATACCGATTGAAAAGAAAGGATTGCAAATTAAAAAAAAATTTTGAACTCGCATAAGAATAATTAAATATTTCGATTTTTAATTCGGATTCCTTTAAGTCATCGGTAATAAGAATCATCGATTATATGGAAATTAAACAAAGTTCACTATCTTTTTTAGATATCCTTATCTCCCCACGTGACATATGGCGTGTTTACCTGTCGTCCCTGTGCAGACCATCTAGTTTTCACGATATCATGCTACTTGCAGTTAACTAAAAATTCTGTTCTAGCACCTGATAGTTTCATTATTAATCTTCGTATATGGCTTAATATATTGGCCAATCGTTGGTTCAGATACGATTTCCAATTGATAATATCCGCAATAAATAATATCGTATTTTTCCTACTCGATTCTATTGAAAAAAATTTCAATACCTCTTTAAAATTCAATATTTTAAATAGTTTCGAAATTTATTCTTATTTGAACAACGCACAACGTGGATTTAATCAGCAACTGTAAAAAATATTACGATTTTCTGGAAGAAAAAAATTCATTTAATTTCAATAACTCCTTTAACAAAGATAACTCCTTTTTTGATCACATTGAAGGGTAGATTTTGGAAGACAAGTCGAGCAGAAAACTTGGTAATGCAAAAGTGTTAATGCTTATCGAGTTACAAGTGATTCAAGTTAACGTTAGATGAAGCGAGACGCAAATAGAATCGGACAGCTCCATCTTCGTCCCACTGTCGTGTCATTCTATCTTCGTCTCGCTTCATCTAACTTCAATAGCTTGGCGAATAAATATCTCGGCCAACATTTTTGCGTAACAACTTTTTTTACGTTCTTTTTTTTTTTTTTTCTCCGTCTCTAGATTCTAGATCCTCCAAAAATGTTCCACGAATATATCGTGTAACATGTACTCATGTATAAACAATGTACCAAGTTCGCTACAATCAGCCATATTACCGTACGGGCATAAAGTTCACCATTATCCAAGCAATCGATATTGACATAAATTCCACACGAGGAACATCAATTCCATCATCGAGTAATCGTTAGTAGCCGCGAGTTTTCCCTCTTCCACTCTCACCAAAGAAGTTCCCTGAACGCTAACTCAAGGAGAACGTGATGTGACCACGGGCCAAGAAAAGGAAGAACGCCACCATATCCAATGGTGAACGTCCAAGTGAATCGTCTCCTACGATCCTAAACTCAATACTCTGAGTTTCAAAGAAGGGAGAGAGAATTCGATAGAAAAATGTGTCCTCGTTTTTTTTCTTTTTTATCAAAGAAATACGATTTTAATTCTTATCGATAATTTTTTTAATAAAATATTAAATTTTATGAGAAGAAGGGAATTTGTTCGGTTCGAAAATTGGTGAACGTTCAAATTAATTATCTTCTTTTAATTCAAACATTGAATTTCGAAAATGAAATCATCTAAACTTTATTCAAAAAATCTCGAGATTCTTCCATGGAATATTCTCTTCTCAGAATATTCGATATTTCAAAATTTATAATTTAATTTATAACCTAGTTCAAATCGATAATTGATGAAACGTCCGAATAAGTAATTTCGATACTTCGAGAATCTTCCATTCTTAAAAAATACTTAAAAACTCCAAAATTAATTAAATCTGTACCCCGTAATCGAAGACGAGAATTGAATTGAACGTTAAAATAAATTATTTTCTTCGTTCAACAATTTTGATAAAAAGAAAAAAAGAAGAAAGGAAGAAAGAATAATATTAAAATGGTTATTTAGAAAGACTTTGAATTCCATCGATATCTTTTCCTTTTCCTTTTTAGGATACCAGTTTCCATAAGGAATGGTATATTATATCCTTGTCCAGATCAGAAATTCGCTACAATCGGAGTTTTATTTCCAGTCGCCAGGGATATTTTTTTTCCTTCCACTGTTCGGGGCCGTAGCCTGTACAAAAGCAGAGAGAGAGAGAGAGAGAGAGAGAGAGAGAGAGAGAGAGAGAGAGAGAGAGAGAGGCTGGCCCAAAGCAACGGGGCCTGGATATTCCGGTTCACTTAATCGTTTCTTCGGACTTCGTGGCCAGGGCCCTGTCTCTCTCTCTCTCTCTTTCTCTTCTTCTCTCTTGTCTGCTTCTTCCAGAAGAGAAAATGAATAAAAAGAAAAAAAAGAAAGAAAAAGGAAAAAAAATATGCGTCGTGGGTACACAAAGGGTCCAGAAAATGGTACCTCTATCCAGAGGCTATATAAGAATGCTATCCCTCAAATTATATCCTTGGACTTTGTGTAGAATATCTTTTTCGTCAAACGTATCTCTTAAATTTATCTTTGATCAATCTATTATTAAAATTTAAATTAAGCTTTAATTGAAACTTGTATGAATAAATTTTATTTAATTTAAAAATTTAAGTTTTTTGAAGATTTTGAAATAAATAAATCTTCAAGCTAATGTTAATCGAATCACTTGAATTCAGATAATTTGATTTGAAACGAAAATGGCTTTGAAAAGAAGGTTTAGTCACTTTTTTAAGGTTATAATCACTTTAAAATACGAATCGTGTTGCAACAAACTTAATCTAACCCCGAATTCGAGTTATATAAATATCTAAAGTTTTGTTTAGGTAAACTTCATTTACTTGATTTCGATAAAATTGTTCAAATTCAAGTAAATTAATTTCAAGCAACAAGCATCTAAAATGAGATGAGTACCGCTATTTTGTAATCACTTTAGAAAAAAATCATATCAAACTCGTATGAACTTTTTAATACCGTTCCGACGAATTTTCTCAAAACTCGTTTTTCAATTTTTAAGAAACGATTCATAATGTTCAAGCTTTATTCAAAATGCAAGAAGTAATGTTTCGAGTTAAACAAAACAACAAATTATAAAATATTTTTAAGTTGCATGAAATTAATATAAATCGAATAAGATAAACGAAAGTTAATAATCTCGATTTCGAGCCACAATACAATTTCAAACTATAAACGATTTCGAATAATTTTCGTAAGCACATATGAGGGATTAACGTGTTTGAGTTATTGCGATCGAATTTAACTAGTACCATTGGTACTCGTAGAATCGCGCATTAACAATCCACGCCTATTAAACGATCGTGCATCCTCTGTACCATTTCGCATGATTCTTCTCTCTCTCTCTCTCTCTCTCTCTCTCTCTCTCTCTCTCTCTCTCTCTCTCTCTCTCTCTCTCTCTCCCTCTCTCCCCCTCTCTCTCTCCCTTCTTTCTCTTTCTCTCTCTCTCTTTCTCTCTCTCGATACAATATGTTCCTTACATCTGTTTATCAAATTGTTTATTTTTTATTTATTTATTTATTTATTTATTTATTTATTTATAATTTCCACCGCTTTTGATGAATTACAGTTAAATTTTAAGAATGATCATTAATAGCGTATACATAGCTTGATCTGCTTAACGAGTTTGTCACCATTTGTTTCGTGTGCTCCTGTAGCTTTTCACGCTTGAACGTCAACCGTGGCTCGCGTGTCGGCATCCCATAGAAGAGGAGCGATTCCGACGAATACGTTTTTTCCTTCGAAACGTATGCGCAGGCTGATTGAATTGAACGACAGGAGAACGAGAGAAGAGGACGTCTCCGAAGGAGGCAATGACTTGGTTGTTGATCGTCAACGTTTAATGCATCTGGATCTGTCGTAACTTTAACTAACTGTGAATATACAGGGTGTCTCAAAATATAACGACAAAATGGAAATTTAAAGTGAAGTAAAGAATCCTTTCCTTCGTTTCATTCTTTTGTGAAATAGCAATTTGTAAAATAGATTCATTTTTCAGTGAGTTCATGAAATAACCTTGGAATGATCTTCAATTAAAATTAAAAAGAAAAAAAAAAAAAAAAAAAGAGAAAGAAATTTTTCATAACATTTTTGGAAATAATCTTGGATTAAAAAAAAGAAAAAAAGAAAAAGCAAATCGAAGAAGAAATTAAATATCTTGTATGTTGTTTGATGATCGAAACGATTTATTAAATCGAATAAAAAAAAAAAAATTATATTATTACTCGAATTTTTAATTCTTCGTTCTATTTTCTTATAGATACATGCTCCGTCTCAAGGAAATAACCTAGAAATTGATATTATTTTTGAATAAAAAAAAAATAGAAAGATTTTGGAACACCCTGTGTATAACATCAACGTGAAATTTCATTCGTGCATCACAAAACTAGATAAAATCTAACGATTAAAAATCCATATTTGAATCCATAAATGAATTCCGAAAATCTCTTCCCCCTCCCCTCTACTTCTTTTTCTTCCTCTTATCTCTTTTCTTTGGATTTTGACGATCCACAAGAAATAAAATCGACGAATGGTGGATTTCATAAATATTCTCCACGGAATTATTAAACGTGATTTGCATATGTCGTGATTCGCTCCTTTTCACGACTTGCTCCGCGAACATGATGACGAGGGGTGCAAACGTTTGCTAATGGCGAGCGAGAGAAATGAGAATCAACGAAGTAAGAAAGTAGAAGAAAAAAAAAAAAAAAAAAAATATGGTCGAAAGAAATCAAGAAATAAATAAAAATTGTTATCTTGTATAGAGGCTAGGTGGTAGAGAGATTGTATTTTTTTTTACATCCAAACTTCTCGCCACTTCTGAGTGCTCGGAAGAAGCATGTGAATGTTTATTTCGAACTTTGCCAACGAGTACGAGACGATATCTCGAAATAGAAATTGCTGTTTCTTATCGTTAATTATAAATGAATTATTTTAATCGAAGTGCAAATTCGCCAGGTGCAATCACAGTTTAAACGATACGATTATTTTTTTTTTTAATATATCATATATATATATATATATATCATTTTTATCGTTAATTATTAGTGTTACATATTAGTGCATGGTATGATGCTCGTTTCTAAATTCATTGTTATTGTACCTAGTACATAGCTTAAGAAGATCATTTTGATATATCGTGCATTTTATTCATGTTATCCCCTAATATCCCCTCTGAAAGTTTCAGAATTTAAGTAATTCTTTCGCTTTTCTTTTTTCTTTTTTTTTTTTATTTTTTATTATAACGTTGCCTTTCATTTATAAAGGGAGAACATATATTGAAATATAATATAAAAAAGAAAAAAAATCTGTTTTTATAACGAAAGTGCAGGGCCCGTTAGATTAGTATTGTTGCCCCTGGCGTTTCGAGCAGCACTCGAACATGGCGGTGAGCTCGGATGTTCTTTCGACATTTCGAAAGAACGGCGCGCGAGGTGGAAATCACCTCTCGTTCATCTAGCCTCTTCTCGCCGTGTAACGTTCGAATATCTCGCCAGGTTCTCTCTCAATAGCCGAAGTCGAAGGAGTTAACGTGGGGCGTGCACGTTTCGAACGAAGGGGCCAGAAACGTGTGCGAGGTCGGGCAAAATCGGTCGGCGAGGTTAACCTTCTCCTTGCCATCGTGTCTTCCCGTTTCAACCACGAAAACGAAACCAACGGAGAGAGAAAAGGTGGAGCGATACCGCGGTTCGTTGTCGAAAGAGAAAAGAAAAAGAAAAAGAAAAAAAGTAAGAGTGACGGAAAACGAAAGAGAGAGAGAGAGAGAGAGAGAGAGTGAGAGAGAGAAAGGGAGGGAGGGAAGAGAGTGTGTGTGTGTGAGAGAGAGAGAGTGAGAGAGAGATAAAGAGAACGAGGGTAGAATAATAGGATCGAAACGAGCAGAGCGAAGGGGGAGGGAATGAACGGCCCTGGGAGTCATCAGCATCGCGGCTTGGGCATGCAGGGACGATACAGGGCCGTAGTAACTGGTGGCACCCCGGCAGGGCCCCACTCTCGCCCCCCAGCGCCACCTCACGCCCGCGGTGGATGGCATCCCCATAATCAGCATCCTCAGCACGCCCAGATACCTCAGCAATACACCGGCAACAAGGAATACCCATATCGACAATGTCCACCACCACGCTTCCATAACGGGTATATCATTGCAATAACAAACCTGGCACATTTGTTGGTGCATACACGTCGATTATGTCGTTATAATATATATCGTTTTTTTTTTTTTTTTT